AAGGTGTGAAACTTTGGTGATAAGAAGATAACAGTATGGAACCCCTGTGATAAGATGACAACAGAGAAAAGGAGATCCTGGGAGGAATCTGGTTGTCACTGTTGAACCAGAAATGACACAAATTCACTCATAGGTTGGTTTGTGGGAGAAGAGTGTTTAATACAAAAAATCCTCTCTTTTATAGATAGCAAATCAAGTAGAATGTGTCAAATCTAACTAACAAAAATATCTTTCTCACAAACAGTCCTTGAGAAGAGCAGAAAAACTGAGTAGAAAAACAAAACCTGCAGGTTGTTTATACTAACAAGTTCCTACAACTCCCTAAACAGTCTCACTAGTTCACTGTGAGAAAACAAAACTCATTTTCTCACACTGACCAGGCTGTTGCATCCACACCTGGTCACTGTAGCCAAGTGTGGGCCAGGCTCTGCTCCCAGGGACAGGACAAGAGGAAACAGCTCAAGCTGCACCAGGGGAGGTTTAGGGTGGATATCAGGGGCAGTTTCTCCATGGAAAGGGTGGTCAGGCATTGGCAGGGGCTGCCCAGGGAGGTCTGGAGTCCCCATCCCTGGAGGTGTGCAAGGAATGACTGGATGTGGCACTCAGTGCAAGGTGGGGATCAGTCATGGCTTGGACTCATTCCTCCTTTTCCAACCTCAGTGATTCCATGATTCTCTCATCCCATACTGCAGGAAAGCAGTAATGTGGAGTGGAGAGGGGCCAGAGCAAAGTGTTTGAAGAGAAAAGCCAAAATAATGCTTTGGAAAGTTAGTTCTGAATTCTCTTGTACCCAACCAGTCAGAAACTCACACTGTTATTGTGGACAAAACTGTGACAGGCACAGTAAGAGCACTAAAAATCCATCAGGTTTGTCACAGCATGACAAGTGAACAGCTGTCCCCCCAGGTGACTTTTTGGGCTTTTCCCAATTCTTTATTCAATGTCTCCATGGACAGAGGCTCTCACTAACTCTGTTTGGTGAAGCCTGCCAGGTTTTCCTGCCTTGCAGGTCTCCAGATAGTCAAAGTTCTTTTGAAAAAAAGCAATTTGTTATCAAGAACCAATGACTGGAACTGAAAATCAGCTAAAGTCTCATTGGTAATTTGTGGAGCAGTGATGGGTTTATACCATTTTTTTCTGGTCCCACATTTCTTGAGTCCATCACCCCTCCTATTTAGAGCCCCAACAGCCACCAGCTCTGGGACTCCAAAGCTGAGTGCAGCACTGTGGGCTTGAAAAGAGATCAGCTCACTTGTCAGGATGATGCTATTTCCAGCTAATCCTCTCCTCTCTGTTACCCTGCTGGGACAGGGATAGCCCAGCCAGAGAGGGAGATCCCTGCTGCAGCCTGTCACTCCTGGCAATGTTACATTTCTGCAATGTTGTAATTTTTTAAATATCCTTTATCCTATAATTTTTAATATCCTTTATTTATTTTATATTCTATATAACAAGCATATTCTGTGTACAGCTCTTCATGAAGCTGGTAGAAATCGTGTATTTTAAGGGAGTTCAAGATCACAAATACAGAGCTCAATTTTTTTTATTGTTGCTAAATTCTATCCAAGAAATCTTCATCAACTTCAGTAAGACTGATAGAAAACACATTCCATTATCTATAATTTATAGAATGCATATCTGCCATTCAGATTAATTCTAACAGAATTTAGTGCTCAGCACTCTCCCCAAACAGAGCACTTTTATTTAGACCGAAACATGAATGATAAAGCCTAACTTCAGATGGCAGAGGTAGCAAAGAATGAGTAACACTGATCAGTTTTCTCCTGGTAGATCAGACAGTAAAAAACTACTGACAAACTCTTCTGTGAGGAGGAGGAAGCAGAATTTCTGACGGGTCAGAGAGTAAATTAGGCTCAAAGATTTCCCCAGGAGCTCTGCCAGCCAAGTGCCCTCTGTAAATATTTCATTATTGCCCTCAGAGACACTGGCTCATCACACCTTGAGGTTTTTTGTCTTTGCCAGCTCCCAGCTAAATCCTGTGAGCAGTGACATTGGTTATCAGCTGCTCCTATCACTCCTCCCCAAACCCCAGAGCAGAATGATGCAGAGGGATCCTCCCACAGCCTTGGTGGGAGGGTTAATGAGTGAACTCCAGCCAGGCTGGGGCAGCCTGTGGGAAGAAGGGCAATTTGCACTGTTGGGGCCTGGGCTGTAGCCAGCCTGGGGATAATTAGCCACTCTCCATGTCCTGGAAGCCTCTTTTCACCAGCAAAACCCTTTCATGGAAAAAAAAAAACCCAACAAAACTAATTGCAGTGGCAAGCTTTGAAAATGGGTTTGGAGAAGGTGCACATTCAGAGAGCCCTAAGAGCAGAAATTCTCCCTCACTGCAGCTAGGCCCACCCAGCAGTGAGATGGATGGATGGATAATCCCAAGTGGAATGCTTTATTCAGGAAATCAAAGGTTAATGGGCCACTTTTTAAATGGAAATCTCTGCTCCAGAATGAATTTTGAAACACACAGGCTTTTGCAGTGTATAGGCCAAGCAGCAATGAATCACCCAACAAAACCACTCATCTGCTTCTGTTTCTCTCTTACAATTTCACATTTCTGGGGGCTTGAATCCTCAGGGTTTCCACATGATTTCCTCCTGGAACACTGCACTCAGCCTGCAGAGTGGAGGAAACTGTTTTTCTTAGGGATTTTAATAAAAAATCCAACCTTTTCTAAATCTTAACTTGTTCTGTCACAGTCCCTCCAATTATTGCAGATTTATTATTTGAAGCAAACAGGCACAGGGGGAGATAGGGGTGTCTGTGGGAGATCTTGGAACAGCACAGACCTTGGACTGGGACAAAGAAAATGAAACTCATTCCTAACTAATTTAAATAATTTCTAACTAAGCAATATCAGCTGTAGGCTTGGCTAAATTTTGTGCAGCTCTGGAGTTACTGAACTGTAGGACACAGCTTTAATTTAAACAGGAAAATAGCATCTCTGTGGTCTGAAAACAGGAGTTCAATTATTCCATGGCACAGAAGAGAAAGGGGATTCCCTTTGTTCAGTGTTTATCAGGCAATGCCAGTGGTGCCCAATCCCCCCCAGCTCCTCTCTGCAGGGCAAGCTGGCCAGGCCTTTGTGCTGACAAATCCCACTTGAATATTTGGAGAGCTTCCACTGCAGCTTTTGTTTGCTTCTGAGTGTGCAGAGCAGATGAGGGCTCCTGCCCTCTGCTCTGTGCACCCTGCACAGCAGAGAGTGGGATTGCATCAAAGCTTCCCCTTCTACCCACTTCCAGGCAGAGGAGCTGGAAATGGAACTTTGGAAATTGGAGCTTTGCTTATTCCCTTGTGGGAGTTCAGGGTGGAAGAGTGCTGTGGCACAGAGATGCACAGGGGGCTCTGGGCAGGTAAAACAAAGGTGCAGAGCTGTCCAGGGCAGCTGGCACACAAGGAGAGAGGGTGGTGTTCCCATCCCAAAATACTGGCCAAATCTAAGTCTACTCTGAGGTTAAGGGCACACCTAGAAGTTTAAGCTTGGTGGTGCAATGAGAATACCTGATTTAATAATGGAATCTCTGCTGTTCTGTAGGAACTCATGAGACTTCCACCATTCATGTAACCACAAATGTCACTACATTTCCTGTTGCTTTGACACTATTTTCATCCTCTTGTTCTGCATGTGAAGCAGAACTTCAAGGAGAGACAGCTTGGAAAAATATTCCTAGAAAGAGTTCCTGGTAGAATTTTAAATCTAGAATATAATAGAATCATCAAATCATTGAGATTGGAAAAGGTCTTTAATATCACAATAGAATTATAGAATCATTAAGATTGAAAAAGGTCTTTAATATCACAATAGAATTATAGAATCATGAAGATTGGAAAAGGTCATTAATATCATTGAGTCTAACTGTCTAGAACACTGATAGAAAAAGGAGTATGATAATTGCTAACACCTTAAAAAAAAAGAATTAATTACATTTAAAACCAGGGTAAGGAAAGCAGGGCAAAGCACCATAGCTGGAAATGGCAGCTGCTGTGAAGCCTGACCCCTTGGAAAGAAATACTTCTCTAAATCTGAGAGACTCTGGGTGGGGAGGAAGAGACTCTGGGCAGGTGAGTTTCCTGCCATGCAGGGGCAGAAACCACTTGACAGAAGATAAAACAATCAGGTGTTGGCAGGAGGGAAGCAGATTGTGATTTTACTGCTGTTTAGTAGTGTGTTGGAAATAAAATTGGTTTAATTTTGGCTTACTCCTGAAGGAGCCTGATTTAACACCTTCAAGAGCTCATTTTGGTGGAGTTTAAGGTACCTTGATGAGTCTTGGGTTTGAGCCCAGGTATTTTCCTGCTGCTAAGCAGAGTTAATTAGAGATGGAAGTGCTGGCAATAAACATGAGACAGAAGTGTGTGGAAAAGCACAGAGCAGTTGTTTTACCTCCAATGAGACAAAGGGAGTGTCCTGCACCTGCAGAGAGATCTGCTCCCCATCTATGGTGAACTTCCTGGAATACAAAGCACCTGGGGGAGAAGGAAGATGTCAGTCAGGGACTGTACCAGGAACCAAAATGACAAAGGAAAGGTAAAATGGGACTGTTGAAATCCAGAGCTTTGAGGTTCAGGATGTGGAGCTGCCTGTAGGAAAGGGCCTGGCCTGGAGTGTTGCTGTGGTTGTTTGCTCAGCAGTGGGGCTGTGCTTGCTGTGTGGGGACACGTCCTGAAGGCACAGCCAGCCTGGGGGTGGGAAGGGACACTCAGGATTGTGCCCACACACACAAAGTGGGCACATAAACCCCACTCAGGTTTCCAGTCCATACTGTCAACTTTAAATACAAGTGCAGGCCACTTTTATAATCACAAATGAAGACATCCAGGTGGGGTTGGTGAAAGGAGTGAGTGTTTCCTGCTGCATTTTTCTGAATGCCTTTAAAAAAGGGAAGTGCTCCAGTTCTGGACACAGAATGAGGGATGGTATACAAATCCCCCAGGTGCTCTTTGGGGTTTGTGTGATTTAGAGCTTGGTTGAAATCCCCAAAGACTGGACACTTTAAACCTGACTTTGGTTAATCTGAAGGAGCCAAGTGCCAGTTCTACCCACCTAGGCCTGATCTAACCACTGCTATCCTGGGCTTGAACTTTATTTTGTTACTGCAGCTGAGGTAAATGACAACAAAAATTTAAGTCTTGGTCTTGTGAACTCTCTGTGGTTCAGAGGTGGCTGTCATCATCATTTTCCTTTAGAACTTAGCCCCAGTCACGTGGGGCTGTGAGGAAATGCTAATCCACAGCTGCTGTGTACAGCCCTTCTGTCCTGCCCCAGCACCATTGTCACTGCTGCCTCCAGAACAATGTCAGACGTGGAGAAATCCACCCACTGCAGAGCAAGGAATTCACATGAACAGGGAGCCCACTAGTGACAGTAATGCCCTCACTTCTGTAAATCAGCTTTGTTTCAAAGAAACAAGTGATTTTATTCCAGTGGAAAAGAGCCCGAGCTCACAGAGCATTTTCAGCACAAGGCCATTCAGCACTGAATCCCACATTATCATATTATGGTTTAATACTGTGAGGGGAATCCAGCCCTGGTGGATTTGGTTTGTGTTTAAAAGCAGCCCTGATTTAAAGCTGTAAAGGTGGTTTATGAGAAGACACTGCACCCCCAAGACCAGACAGCCCCGTGCCCATTGCATGATGCCCTGCAGAACAAAGAGCAGGAGCTGCCAGGCAGTGCCCCTGCTCTGCCCAGGGGTGCCTGGCACAAGGACAGGCAGGGCTGAGTGATCCCAAGGGCACTCATTGCCACCTGTTCCTTATTGCTGGAACATTCACCTCCCCTGCAGCATGGCCACGGGCCTGGGAGCTTAATGGGAAAAGCATGTGGCTCCCAGCACTGCTCTGGCAGCCATCACTGCACAGCTCCCAGCTCTCACTTGATGTACAGCCTCCCAGAGAAGAGGTGACACAAGAAAAGGAGCAAAAGTGCAGCCAAGCATCAGGGTTAACCAGGGTCAGGGAGGGGGGGCTGGGAGGAGGAGCTTCCAGAGTGCATTTCCTCAGATCAAAGGTGCCTTGTGCTGCTCCCTCCTCATCCTGAGCTCAGCAAGCATCTCCAAAGTGAAGCATTTTCTGAATTCTGCCCACTTTCACCCCAAAACTGTGAGGTGGCCAATGTATGGGGTGTGCAGTAGGGGTGAGCATGGGGGTACAGTATTTTCCTGGAACAGTTCACATGAACACACCCTCTGGATTAAACAAGGAATGAATGGTTGCTTTGCTTGTCTTGTGGAGAGAAGGTTTCAATTTCAGGGTTTCCCTGGTTTTAATAGCCCCTGAAATAAAGGGAATGCACAAAAAAGGTTCTGAACTGCATTTACACTCCTCAGAATTCCTCTGCCTTCCCTGGGGTTGCAGGGGGAGCAGCATTGGGTTTCCATGGTTTAGTTGATGTGTAGGCTGTTCCTTGAGCCTGTGTTTCACTATGGGTATGTCCCCAAGCAAACCTTTTACTCTGATCCCTTTCCATCAACTTGGAGGAAAAAAAACCCAGCTGAAAGGATCATAAATAATGAGCCTTTGATTTATTGCTTTCATAGCTCAAGGCTATTAACTGAAAATATGCACCTTATGGACATCCAACACCACTTGGCTTCCCTGTAACGTGCACCAGTCACAAAGCAGACAGGATTACTTTCCCACTCCCTGCAGGGCTGCTGGGCAGAGCAGAACTCACCAGTGTTGGCTTCGTAGTCCCCAATAAATCTCTTAGTGAGGAAGCGCACGACCAGGGCTGCAAAACAACGACAGAAAGGTGGGTGCTTGGTGAGAGAGAGCCCTGAGCACCCTGCACAGCTCCCGGGGCATCCCCTGCAGGAGGGAGGCTCACAGGGAGCCAGCTTCACCTCTGCATTGCTCACATGCTGCTCTGCCAGAGCTGCTCTCCACGACAAAGATCTGGGGCCAGCCTGGGATACCCAGCACAGAGTTTGTCACAGCTTGTGTTGGAAATGAGCCCTGGGATTCAGGAGGTTGTTTCCCTGTGACTGCAGGTAAAACAATCTGTCCTTTGCTCTGAAATAATTTAGAAGAGTAACAAGGCAGCAGACTGCAGCTAATCCAGATTTAAGCATTTTCTGTCATGCAAGAAGCGAGGCTGATGGATGGAATGGATCTTTCCAGCCTTAAAACCTCTCACAAAACCCATTAGTGATATCTAATCACACCCAGCAAACAAACTCCATGTGCTCTGCACCCTTGGGTCATGCTGCAGCACCCTGGGTCTTCTTACCTTAAACTGAGCTGCTTTCTTAAACTCTGATAAGAACATTTTCCTTTTTCTGCATAAAACATTTAAATCCCATCATGGCAACAGTGACTTATACTCCCATGGAGCTTGGATCTCAGTAGATTCCTTGTAACTTGCAACACCAGTTAATTAAGAATTAAATAAAATGTCTTATTCTGCAAGCAACATTATTTTACAATAGATTTTATTTCAAGCAATGCTTTTTCTCACAGTGATACTGGGTCATCCTTCAACATCCTTAAATGAAATTGCCTGTGCAGCTGTCTTCAAGAAACTATTTAAAAATAATATGAAGATGTGGCTCATATTATTTTCAAGGCCAAAACAAACATTTTGCTGAATCCCATGGAACCACAAACGTAATAAATCAATCTGCTTTTCATAATTCCTGAAATCATGGACCAGATATTCAACAATGCTCTCTTTACCCTCTTTTCTTCCCATCTCCTTTGGAGAATAATAAAGGCACATCTTGTACACTGTGATTTGTCTGCAGAGCATAAAACACTTACAGGAAGGAGGACAAAATACACTTTTTGGGGTGTGGAAATCTAGCTACAGTTAAATAATTTGCACAAGAGCAGCTAGAAGCATTTGTGACTACAAAACTCGCTGCTGGCTCATGTTGGCTTCTCACACATCTACAGCAAATCTCAAAAATTCTCCTATGCCTTTTCTTAAAAAAAAAAAAGAAAAAGAAAAAGAAAAAAAGGAAAGAAAAGAAAACAAAGCAAATTGAAATAGTTAAACTAAATTTGGCTAGTTTGGGTGTGTCTGGCAGGGAAGGAAAAGGAAAGCGGGGCACACACCTGTCCTTACCTGTCTTGCCCACGCCGCTGCCGCCCAGCACCACCAGCTTGATGATTTTGTTGGGCGCGCAGTCCAGCGCGGGGTACTCCGGGATGGGCAGCAGCAGGAAGTTGGTGGAGTACTGAGACATCGTGTGCTCAGGGATGAGGAGCATGCCAGAAGGGATGGCTGCTCGGCCCGGGCTGCAGGAAAGCAGGAGCGCGGCTCCGCGGCGCCCGTCCTCGCCCGGCTCTGCCGGCAGCCAGCAGCGCTCTCATCCCACTGCAGGCGATCTCCCGAGGAATGCGAGAGCGCCCGGCCTCCCTCAGCCAATGCCTCTGCTCAGACAGCGACTTCGCAGAGCCGAGGGGAACTTTTTGATCGGCCCCCGTGAAAGCTGACTCCGGCAGCCCGCAGCCAATGGCGAGGGCAGCGGGACATTCCTGCCCCGGCCCCGAGCGAGCCGCGCCTGCCGCCCCTCACGGCTCTCCCCTCACCCTGCAGCCCCTTACAGCCCTCCCCTCACGGCTCTCCCCTCACAGCCCTCCCTTCACGGTTCTCCCCTCACAGCCCTCCCTTCTCAGCTCTCCCCTCACGGTTCTCCCCTCACGGCTCTTCCCTCACGGCTCTCCCATCACAGCCGTCCCCTCACGGCTCTTCCCTCACGGCTCTCCCCTCATGGCTCTCCCATCACAGCCGTCCCCACAGCCGCCCCCTCACGGCTCTCCCCTCACAGTCCTCCCCTCACAGCCGTCCCCTCATGGCTCTCCCATCACAGCCGTCCCCTCACGGCTCTCCCATCACGGCCCTCCCCGGGCCTGCTCCGTGCTCTGCCTCTGGCCGGCTGCTAAAACCCAGATTTTGGGGCTTTGCAGCCGTCACAGGAGCCCTCGGAGTGCGGTGCGGTCACGGCCGTGCTCAGCTTTAATTCGGCTGTGAATAATCCGGTTCTGCCTGTCCGAGTCCTTCGCCCTTTCCGCGGCCCCAGCCCCGCGCTCTGTTGTTCTCCCTGGGCCCTTCATTGTGTGCTGCCCATGGGACCCCGCTCTCCAGGACAATAAACATTTCCACCCCCCCTCAGAGCTTTGGGGCAGCTGTGGGATATTCCAAAATCCCAGCTGACATGCCGTGAATCCCCCAGGATACATTTGATCTGCTGCTTTGTGAGTCCTGAAGGGCGGCAGGAACGTGGGGCAGCGTTGGGGTGGGACCCTGCAGGCTCTGCAAAGGGAATTTGGGGCTGCTGACAGAATGGGGCTGGGCGGCTTCCAGAGGGAAGAATGAGGAGAGAATGGCTTGTCTAGGAAAACTGAGTGGGGTTTTAGGGCAGCTGGCAGGGTCTGTGGGATGACAGCCTGGAACTGAACACTGCCTACAATCAGCTCTCTGGGATAGCAGAGAGGGAAGAACGCTGGGGAGGGAGTGACCCAGATAAAGCAGAACTGCATATAATACAAAACAGATGTAAATTAAACTTAAAAAAATAATGTAGTTGGAGCATTCGTCTTTGAAAGGCTTCTCAGAAGGGAGCAGAGGCGAGGCTGGGACATGGACTCTGTCAGGCTGTGTGGGAGACGTGGATGGGAATGGAGAGCGAGATAAACTCCCAGAGCTCATGGAGACCTGGGGATGCAGATTCTCTGCAGGCAGGAGATGGGCTGGGCTCACTCTGGAGAGGCTGCAGCCACCAAAAAGCCTCTCTGTGCCCAGCAGCTCTCATGGGGACCCACAGCACACACCTGAGCCCTCCCAGCAGGCTCCAGAGCCAGCCTGGGCTCCCAGGGAATGGGAAATCAGGGCAGGGCTCTGGATCACTGCCCCTTCCCAAAGCACCCAGCTTCCACACCAGCACCTCACAGGATGTGAACTGCCCTGAGGAAAATCCAGCTCTGGGGCACAGCAGTGCAGTGAAATCAGCACAAGAATGCCAAGATTTATGGGCATGTCCCTTTTCCAAGGTTCTGTTTCCCCTCTGAAACCTTGTTGTGCAGCAGTATTTGTTCAGTGATGCTCTGCAAGCTCCCAGCGTTGCTCCTTTGACCATCCTGGCAGCTGATGAAGAGGAGGAAGAAAGGTGTGGAGGCTGATGCAGCTCATGAAACTGAGAGGGAAATGCTGGATCCTCTGTCTTTTGGGACATGGCTCCTGTGGGAATGGTTTGCAAATCTTCCAGCGTCAATTTGCTTCCAGATTTTTGCAAAACCCCAAACACTGATAAAAAAAAATCTTTTCCAGGAAATTTATTTACCGGCGTGCTTTAATCTCACACAAGTTTTGTAAGAGGCAAAATGAGAGGAGAAATAGGAAAAAAGCTCAAAATCTTGTGGTCAATTAATAGGGCAGCACTTTGAAATGTGCTCTTGAGCAGGACAGTGATAAATTTGGGATTAGTTAGCAGCAGTAAGTCACTGTCTGCCTGTCTGAGGGGTGGAACCTTTGTTCCATTTTGCTATTAAAAGCATATGCTAGTGAGTAATATAAAACCATTCATCACAATAGTCCTCCTCCAAAACCAAACAGTCATAGATCTGTCAGCTTCTAGGTGGCCACAAGAGCTCCAGCCCAGGAAAAAAAAGCCAGATAAGTTCAGAAAGACCATGAAGAATATTCTATATGAGCAAAGACATTCCTAGAAGAAAACAGCTCTGCTGGCTTGCTCCAAGAGGGAGGCACGTTCAACTGAAAGAAAAAAAAAAGTCAAAATAATTTTGGGTAACCAAATGTGGTGCTGAGGAACACAAAGGGAGTCAGAGGCACATGAGGGTGAGCTTTGGCCTGCATGAATGTGAGGCAGACACAAAGAATGCAAACTGTGCTCAAAGGATGCTGAGCTTGGATGTGGCACTCAGAAATCAGGAGTCCCAAGCAGGGACAGGGAGCAGCTGCTGTGTGAGGAGGGACAGGGAAGCTGCTCCATGTGCTTGCAGGGCTGGATCTGCTGCTGACACGGGAGAGGGGATGTGTGGGGGCAGGAATGAGACAGCAGTGCTGCAGGAAATGTCAAACTGCTGCTTTTGGCAGCTCTGAGGGCTTCTGGTTGCTTAAAACAAATGTGAAAGAGTTTCAGGCTGCATGTTGGAAGCAGAGCAGTGGAGCTGGAGCTCCCTGGCTGATCTGGTTCAATATGAATTTCTCCTGCACCAGTCCTGGCTTCTTGTGCTTCTCCCCAGATCTTGTTCCACCACGTGCAGGAATCTCTGTGCAGAGAGAAGGGCTTTTAGTACAAATAAAATAGCTGTGCATTCTCCCAAAGTTTTCAACCTACTCCCAAGCTCCCCTCTCCTCTCAACTTGGAGACTTTAATTCTGAAAGGATTCAAGTAAAATACAGAATTAAACCCAAAGCTGTGCATTCTCCCAAAGTTTTCAACCAACTCTCAAGCTCCCCTCTCCTTTCAACTTGGAGGGTTTAATTCTGAAAGGATTCAAGTAAAATACAGAATTAAACCCAAAGCTGTGCATTCTCCCAAAGTTTACAACCAACTCTCAAGCTCCCCTTTCCTCTCAACTTGGAGGCTTTAATTCTGAATGTATTCAAGTAAAATACAGAATCAATGCCAAAGCTGTGCATTCTCCCAAAGTTTTCAACCAACTCTCAAGCTCCCCTTTCCTCTCAACTTGGAGGGTTTAATTCTGAAAGGATTCAAGTAAGATACAGAATCAAACCCAGAAGTTTTCAAATGTGGTCCTTGTCTAATTTTCTGGATTGCCAGAGCAGCCTTTTCAGAGACAAGAAGGATTCATACTCTCTGAGGTTGTGTAACCCTTGGCATGTGGAATAACAATTGTTTTTAAAGGAGATATTCATTGTTTGTGCACAATGGACTTATATTTAGCTAAAAAACCCCATGTTTTACATTCTAATTCTCTTAGAAAAACAATAGCTTAAATTAGAGGGGGAATGTTTGCAAAACTGAGAGCAACTTTGGAAACGCTTGGATGGTTCTGGAGGTTTCACTTTACCACCCCTTGGGCTGCTCATGCAAAGCATGCATCTGTGCCTTTGCATGGTGCACAGAGATTGTTATTTCCACACCAAATTTTTTACAGATTTATTTACTGCTCTGTGTTGCTTTTGGCTCTGTCTGTTAGAAGATTTTCTATTTATATTGTTGTTGGCCCTCCTACACATTTTCAGAGACGAAGCTTGCTAAAAATAAAAGTATTTGCCATGACCATAGTGCCTGTGACAGGAGGATGTCAGAGTGCTTTAAAACTGGCTGTAATTATTCCTCCTGCATTGTACAAAAGGAGTAAGAGATGAGCAGAACTAGAGAGACCTTGCTAAGGTCCCAGCATGTTGGGGAAATGTTTCTCCTTCTGCCAAGCTCTGGCAGAAATGATTTTTCCTCCAGGAGTCCATTTGTAATCATTACATTTGCCTTTGGTACATCTTTTATAGAATATATTGATGTTAGGAGGACTTGGGAGGAGAAACAGGGCTGGTTTTGGAGCAGAAATGGGAAATGTGGCTGTGGGGAAGTGCCAGGGACTGTGGCAGATGCTGAGACAGAATTTGTGGCTGGTAGCTCAGGCACAGACCCCTGAAGTGACTCGAACCAACAAGAATTGGTCCCTGCAGCTCTCTCTGCCCCTCTTTGTGGCAAATTTGGGGCCCAAAGGTCACTTCTGACACTGCATTCAACAGAAATTGTCTTTGAAGCACCTTTGTGCTCCCAGGAACTGAACACCTCCAAGCTGGGAAAGGCAAAGGAGGAGGAGATAAGAAAGGATGAAAAATGAGTGTGGTGTGCTCAGGGAACCAGCCTTGGTCTGTGTGCTCAGAATTCCACCTTGCTGAGTTTAGATGAATTAAAAGTGCATCTCTGTGCTCCAGCAGTGACCTCTGAAGACATTCAGGGACAAGACCATGATTTTAGCCCTGTAATTCTACTCAGCACCAAGTTGTTCTGATCCTGAGGCTAAAGGGCAAGGAAATGTCCTCAGATACTGCTGCAGCAGCTGTGATAAATCATCTTTGACTCTATTTTGGGATGTAAGAGAGATGAACATTTAAATACACACTTCAATCTGGTCAAACACTGTACAGCTTCCCCAATTCCTGCATTTCCTGTCCCTAATTTTAAAGCACTGCCATTCATGGCAGCCCTGTGAGCAGCACGTGGCCCTTTTCACTTGGGGGATTTTTGGGAAGGATTTGGGTTTTTGTGCTCCTGGGGCCTGTCCCTGGGGAGGATGGAGCAGATGACGTGGGAAGCCCAGTGTGGGTAGGAGATCTCTGCAGGCCAGCAGCTCAAACAGAATGGAAACATCTCAGCCTCATAAAAAAGTTTCTGCTTTGGAAACAGAACCATTCTCCCTTCCCCACAGATATTCCCACATGGTCAGGGCTGGAGAGTGGAAACAGCCCTGGCAGAGCTGGGACTGTGAGCAGGGAGCTCCCAGTGCCCTCACAGGCACTCCCACAGCTCGTGGGGATGAGGGGAGGCTGCAGCCTCCAGGCTGGGCACAGCTCTGGGTCA